AGATCAGTGAATCTAAAGCTTACTGTGCACCCACAAGGCTGTGTGGAATGTAGGTGAGGGGCATGTCCTATTGGTGGGCATATGGCTGTCCAGTGCTCATTTTTCAAGCAATGAAGTTTTGCATATGCTTACAAAAAAACTGTAAGAAAATAGGATTTCTAGGTCCAACTAATTTCATTTTGGGTAGATGGTTCCCAATTCTCTTCAATTTTAATTTTATTCATTATAGGGGGAGGATTGTGGGTGCTGTGGCACACATGGGGTGTTCAAAGAACCACCTTTCAGGAGGTGGTTCTCTCCTTTCTGTGGGTTCCTGGAATCAGATGCAGGTTCATCAGCAATGAACCATCTCACAAGCCCACAATGACATTCTCAGAAGATCATTGCCATCAACACCTAGCTGTGATCATAGGAGTGCACACATTCTCTCATCATTTTCTGGTTCTTCAAAATAGGATGCTTAGTTTCAGCTGATGGAGATATGGATGGAGGCTTTTTAATTATTCCATGTGAAATGTTGAATTTGAACATTGTATTTTATTGACCATTTCCAAGCTTCAGGGAGTTGCGTACTCCTAACATTTTTCTATTGTCCCCTCATGTGTCTCTTATGAAGTCACAGCCTGCGTGGGTGTTTAGCACAACAACCCTCATGTCAGCTGGAACTGTTAACTTTCCTAATGTACCTCTTTCAAGTTTACTGGTTTTGTCATGGAAAGCATCACACCTTTGTACATAAAATACCCTCTTGAGTCAACAAGATGATTCCCTGGTTAAAGACACATGCAGGTAGTTGTGGGCTACCTAACGTGGGCACTAGGAACTGGACCAGAGTCCTCTGGAAGAGCAGGAAGCACTTTTAACCAGGGAGCCTTCTTCATCCCCACCCCCAGCCTTTTACTAAAACTCTGGATTTGCAGTCTCGGGCAGGAAGAGTTGCCCTAATCCCAAACTAGAGGTACACTACCACTGCCCACCAAGATCCCAGTGTTTAAAGATGTTTGTTCCTCCCAAGCAGCAAAATTTATTAATAATTGTATGATATCTTTGCAAAGCTTGATATTTTATGATTCCTGTAGTTTTCTCTACACGAGTATAAATTGTGTGTGTGTATGTGTGTGTGTGTGTGTGTGTGTGT